CAGTCGCCAACGCAATCAATGGCGACTGAAATCCTTAACTCGGATGATGACGACGGAGGCTCCACAGAAGCAATGTCGGGAGCAGGGGATACCGAGGAGGAGGAGGAGGAAATTGTTGGAGCGCCGGCGGCGGCGCTCTCTGAGCAGGTGATACCGTTGCTGAAGTACTTGGATCGCAAATTTGATAAATACGCCGATCCACTCCAGCCGGGATCTTACATCGAATTAGTGCGCAGGCGGACTCGCACTAAAGTCCACACTAGCAAGCTACTAGCTAGGACGGACCAGGAATTGAAGGACTTGAGGGAGAAGCATGCCTGTTTGTGGGGTCAGTACAACCTTGTGAGGAAATCGCACGCCCTCGACAGGATGAAGAAGGAGAGACTGGAAGAGCTCACCAGGGATGTGGTGAAGATCACGACGGATTTGATGTCTGAGAGAACTCAGAATCAGATTCTGTCAGAGGAGCTCGTGCGACAGACGCGTTTGTTGGCTGAGTGTCAGCTCGCACGACAGGTGGATGAGGATTTAATCCGCAGGCTACAGTCTGAGTGTGGTGAATTGAGAGCGCAGCGTGCGGAGGCCGAATCGCAGTTGGTGGTAATTGAAGAGGATCGCAGGCGAGAGGCAGATCGCACGAAGGAGGAGATGGCGGGGCGTGTCGCCCACTGTCTCAAGGGCTACGCCCACTGGGAAGTGGCGGCGCAGGAGAAACTCACACTGCGTGAGTTTGAGCTTCGCGCAGCGGGGCTGTTGGCAGGCGACAGCAGGAGTCGGCGGAAGGTGGCAAAGAAGCTAGACGCTTTTCTGTCAAAGGCGCGGGATACCATGTCCACCCTCGAGGTGGAGGTGTCCGCGGCGTTGCAGCGGTTAGGACTGCGCAGTCGAGCGGAGGACTGGTAGGGTAGGGAGTTAGTGCGCGGCAGTCCGTCGCGCAGGAGACGTAGCACAGGTTCTGCGGAGTGTAGTGTAGCGTGGTTCCGTGCCGGCGCATAGTGTAGCGTAGTGTAGTGTTAGTTAGGACTTACTTCAAGGCGTTTTGCCTTGGGTTCTTTCCCAATTTCGGAAGTGCAAATCAGGAACTCATTTTCTTTGCGTGTTTGTGTCCTTAGTTCTGTCACCACGCACGAGGAGCTACACCTTAGCGTTCCGCATTGTGTAGCTGAAGGCCTTCGGCCGAATGTTCAGAGCTGGTACATTGGTTAGAGACTTGAGTAGTTCGGATCTACACCTGCGGGTGATTGCCGATGCTCAGAGCCAGTGACTAGTTAGATACTTGAATAGTTTCGCCTCTACACCTTCGAGTGTCTATTCTTGATTGTACTCCTTCGGGATTTTTCCCCTGAATGCCAAAGTGAAGTTTTGCTACTTCGTGTAAGCCTTGGTTGTAAATTCAGGTTACGCTGCAGCAAGTGCCTTCGGGGTAACCCCTGTAGTATTTCTGGGAATGACAAGTGCCTGAGAATTCAAACTCTTCAATAGACTATTATTGTGTTACTGGAATGTTTCTCAGTGAGTCCTTCAGTGCGGACCTGTGTTCTCTGCGCGTTTTGTGAGTTGAGAGTGTTGTTCACCGCGTATGAGTGACTTCGATCCGAAGTAGGCAGTCCAAACCGGGTTTCCTACGCTAGCAGCAAGCTAGTGGAAGCGTTGTAAAAGCCGGAGTTGGAAGTCACTACCCGCAGCTTCGCTGAGTGTACTCTTGAGAGACTTCCCCCCTGAAATCTTGAGTAGAGGTCCTAACGGATCTCTAGGTTGTGTTTCTGTAGTTTCAGGTGTGTGTGTGTGTGTGTGTGTGTTACACTGCATTGTGCGACCTCCGAGTGCGCTCCGAGTGGACACTTGCAGTATTTCTGGGAGTGACAGTCGCCTGAGAATTCAAACTCCTCAATAGTCTGTTAAACGTGACACTTTGTACCCTGTGTGTTCCTCTGTCCCTGTGGGTTCGACCTTTCTACCACTATATTGCAGTTTTAGCCTTTAGTGGGTTATTACAGTAGTCGAGCGAAAGACTGGCAGGGTAGAGAGTTAGTGCGCGGCAGTCCGTCGCGCAGGAGGCGAAGCACAGGTTCCGCGGAGTGTAGTGTAGCGTGGTTCCGTGCCGGCGCATAGTCTAGTGCAGTGTAGTGCTAGTTAGGACTTAGAAGGTATAAAGTAGTTCAAGGCGTCTTGCCTTGGGATTCTTCCCAGTTTCAGAAGTGCAGATCAGGAACTCATTTTCTCTGCGTGTTTGTGTCCTTAGTTCTGTCACCACGCACGAGGAGCTACACCTTAGCGATCCGCATTGTGTAGCTGAAGGCCTTCGGCCGAATGTTCAGAGCTAGTACATTGGTTAGAGACTTGAGTAGTTCGGATCTACACCTGCGGGTGATTACCGATGCTCAGAGCCAGTGATTAGTTAGATACTTGAGTAGTTTCGCCCCTACACCTTCGAGTGTTTGTTCCTGATTGTACTCCTTCGGGATTTTTCCCCTGAATGCCAAAGTGAAGTTTTGCTACTTCGTGTAAGCCTTGGTTGTAAATTCAGGTTACGTTGCAGCAGGTGCCTGTGAGGTAACCCCTGTAGTATTTCTGGGAATGACAAGTGCCTGAGAATTCAAACTCTTCAATAGACTGTTATTGTGTTACTGGAATGTTTCTCAGTGAGTCCTTCAGTGCGGACCTGTGTTCTCTGCGCGTTTTGTGAGTTGAGAGTGTTGTTCACCGCGTATGAGTGACTTCGATCCGAAGTAGGCAGTTCAAACCGGGTTTCCTACGCTAGCAGCAAGCTAGTGGAAGTGTTGTAAAAGCCGGAATTGGGAGTCACTACCCGCAGCTTCGCTGAGTGTACTCCCGAGAGACTTTCCACCCCTGAAATCTTGAGTAGAGGTCCTAACGGATCTCTGGGTTGTGTTTCTGTAGTTTCAGGTGTGTGTGTGTGTGTGTGTGTTACGCTGCACTGTGCGACCTCCGAGTGCGCTCCGAGTGGACACTTGCAGTATTTCTGGGAGTGACAGTCGCCTGAGAATTCAAACTCCTCAATAGTCTGTTAAACGTGACACTTTGTACCCTGTGTGTTCCTCTGTACCTGTGGGTTCGACCTTTTTACCACTATATTGCAGTTTTAGCCTTTAGTGGGTTATTACACGCGGAGTCTTTTCCAACAAGACGGGGTTTTTTTCTATTCGTGGCTGGGTTTTAATTCAGCCAGAATTAGCTGCGTGTATTAAGAGACTAGTCCACACCTCGAGAGCCACCTATACAGCTACAGTCTTGTTGGAAAAGCGCAGAGCGGGGAGAAGAGTGTAGTAAGCGAGTCTTCTCCCCCTCGAGAGTCACAGATTCAGTTCGCGGCTTGTTGGAAAAGTGCAGAGTGGGGGGAAGAGTGTAGTACGCGAGTCTTCTACCCCTCGGGAGTCACAGATACAAGTCCCGTCTTGTTATAAAAGCGCAGATGCACGGGTAGCCTGAGTCTATCCCTCGCTGAAGATCCGTCTTCAGGAAGAGTTGAAGACACATATCAAAGTCCAGCACATATCTGATAAGTCCAAATGGAACAATTTCACGGCCTCACTCCACAGATCCTTGCAAGATGTAAGGCTCCAGAACAGACATGTTCATTCGTGTTTCGAGTCCCTGTTTATCAACCACATACGCGAGCGCCTCAAGGTCTAAGTACTCGCAGTACGCACGTACTGTTTGCGGAATTTATCACTATACCTTGCGAAGACCTCGGAAAATGTACAACTACAGGCAGCAGCATTTCATCTTCAATCATCATGAGTGAAGTCGACCTTGTAGCAATTCCAGCAATCATGGGGCCAGTGGTAAGCAGTGAACAGTGCGTCGGAAGAATCCTAATATCGGCCAAATTATTATATTAAGTCCAAATCGTTCACCAAAGCCTGCAAAGAGTATCTCTACAGGCTTTGATGACCAGGTCTAATGCGTCACCATGAACGCCTCCAAGCTCAACTGTATCTTACCTCAACTGTATGTTACCTGTTGCTATTATGTGTCGGAAGTGATGACAGCAGGAGAACCTACGTTGAGGGCTTATAAAGTTCACGTTCAAGTAAGGAATCTAATCCGAGAGCCATCCTGATTCACAGCTTGTGACCAATTCAATAACTCGCATAATCTACAATTTTTCGGACAATCAACATGGATGAGGAGTCATGTAGTCACTATTGGCTAGTTTTGCCCCAAGATTGAACAGTATGAATTGCAACTGGAACCATCAAGCTGCGAAAAAAAACAAGGCCAGCGGGCAGAGAATCAGAACATCCGATCGAACCTGCTTCGTCAATACTTCTTTGAAGCTTTCCAAGAGGCAAACGGGAAAGTGCCTAAGAGTGTAAGATGCCACCCGCCGAGGTTAGAAAACAAAAGCCAAGTATTTGGTCAAGTTCGCTTGGTAAGATTCATCAGTTTAGATATATGTCCTTGGTCAAGTTTCTCGAATTCTTTTTGAACATTTGCGTGACGAGGAAGAGATCATATTGGATGCTATAAGAAAGTTTTCATTGCAATTAGGTTGAAAGTACGGAACTTTGTCTAAGTCTTACGCGGCTTCCCAGTCAATTTTTGGCATATGCAATCTCTCTCAACCTGTTCCTTTCTTTCTTCCTGAGAAGGTGGACACGACATCTTTGTGGGGAACGATGTTGTGTCCACCTTCTCAGCCAGTTACCACACAGACTATGAAAGCTAAGCTCACGATCATTCCAGCTTTGCCTCAGCTAGATTTGACGAACTTGTATAGCATGATCAACTCAAGAAAATATCTTGATTTAACGCTTAGAGGTCAGACTTTTATGTTGTTTTGAGAAGGCATTAAGGTTTTTTTTGTCAATGAGCCATAAAGCCTATTTTATTGCACAATGTCGCATAATGCGTAGCTTCAGAATAAGTTTTTAGCAAAACCATGAGACAAAGCTCAATACTAAGTGGTTTAGACTACATTGTCACTCTACTTTTCCACAGATAGAAAATGTTAAAGTTGTGATGGAGTCTAATTACCTGCAAAATTATCTGCAGACGTATTGAGTCTGAGCCACTTAGCGGGGAAGTAGCTTACAGCTTCTACCTAGCTAGGAGCTATAGCTACCATATAATGCTATCGAAATAAGGTAGCAATAGAGCGAAAAGCCTCGTGAGAACAGCGTGAATATTCCCAGTTCTTCTGTCCACAACTCTCAACCGCGTTGCATCGTCCTCACGATGTCCCAAGACGTTGAACGTCGTCACCAACTTACACAATTCTGGAACTGCGGGAGTCCGTGAAGAGGTCCAAACACAATCGCGAAGCAGGGAATATATCACCGCTTGCGGGAACCACGGTGTTGTGGTTCCCGTGAGTTACCATGGTTCTATCCGTGAGTTGCATCGATGTACTCCTATCCGTGAGTTGCATCGGAGCGCCCGTTAGCTGTACCGGAGTAAATCCTCCTCCACCAAAGAGATTCATTTGCTGCTGTAGCTGATACATGTCAGTCTCCTGATGCTGTTGCTGCATATGAAAGCCCCCATTATCCTGAAACGCGACCTGATGCTGCATATGAAAACCTCCATTTTTGGGAAACGTGACCTGTTGGATAGGCGCGAAAAAATGAAAACCTCCATTTTCGGGAAACGAGACCTGTTGAGTAGGCGCGACATGTTGAGTAGGCCGCGCATGCCCATAATAAGTTTCTGGATGATTACCGTTGTAAGCAGGAGCAAACAACGCAGGAGTTTGAGCTGCAGCATCTTCTGCCTTCAAAATCCTTAATTTCTCCGCCAAAGTCGACCTGTGCTCCTCCAGTATATCAGCCTCGCGCTTAAGACGCCTCAGTATCCCGTAAACTCCGTGAACAGGATCTCGTTCCCTTGCGTCGGACTCGAAGCACACACTTTTCATCAGATCGCCCACTGAGTTTTTATTTTCTTGAATTAATCTCAGTATGTGCGCGACTCCGAACAGCCTGTGGGCGTTCGCAAATCGCCTGGGCTGATGAGGAGGGAACCACGGTGCCAGTAAGCAATCCACGGTGCACTTTCGCCTTTGGAACTTGCAGGCAGCGCACGCTCCATTCGGAGGGAAGCCCATTCTCGATGAAACCTGAACACCTGAAACCTGTGGAGTGAGGCCGTGAAATTGTTCCATTTGGACTTATCAGATATGTGTCTTCAACTCTTCCTGTAGACGGATCTTCAGCGAGGGATAGACTCAGGCTATCTGTGCCTCTGCGCTTTTATAACAAGACGGGACTTGTATCTGTGACTCCCGAGGGATAGAAGACTCGCTTACTACACTCTTGCCCCCACTCTGCGCTTTTCCAACAAGCCGGGAACTGAATCTGTGACTCTTGAGGGGGAGAAGACTAGCTTACTACACTCTTCTCCCCACTCTGCGCTTTTTCAACAAGACGGTAGCTGTAGATGTGGCTCTCGAGGTGTGGACGAGTCTCTTAATACACGCAGCTAATGCTGGCTAAATTAAAATCCAGCCACGAATAGAAAAAAAGCCCGTCTTGTTGGAAAAGACTCCGGGCGAGCGTGACATTCAGGACATCTGCCGTTCAAACTGTGTGTGCGTGTCCTGGAGACGAGAAAGTTCCTCTTCAAATCCTTGAGCCCTTCGTTCGGGCTCTACGCGGTCGCCGCGGACAGTGACCGGGCCTGGCCTCGGTTACTGTCGGTTACCTCGATCCTAGCCGTCAGAGGAGGACGCGCGGCTCGACCGGCCCTTCCGAGTGTGCATGTGCCATCTGGACGTAGATACGTCCAGATTTCACATGCACACTCGGTTGCCGCTCGCGTGGAGTCTTTTTCAACAAGACGAGAACTTTATCTGTGACTCTCGAGGGGTGGACGATATCCCAAGCAGAATACGTCGGTGCGCCTCCCGACCCCATGCATTGGGATGAGCGGCCGCTTCAAAACGAAAAACGTCTATATTTACCTCTCCGTCGTTTCCAGCAGGTGGATGCTGTTACATCTCGTGCGTAGGAAATACATCTCATCTATCGGTTGTTGCAGGCCATGGGTACTGAAATCGACGCTTTATACCTCCTTACACAAATTGCGCGTGCATGTTTGGCACTGCATTCATCGGTATCATGAATCCCAGAAAATAAGTCCGCATCTGTCATGATCATGAGTTTCTCTTATCTCCGCGACCCATTTCCCCCACGTGCGCTGGCGGATTCCGTTGAACTCCCACGAGTAATTGTCGGGTACTCCCTTGACTTTTTTTGGGACGACCGAGGTCGCATTTGTCGCAAGTGCAACCTGGATCGTAAATCGGGCTAAAATTTAGCCAGGCTAAATCTGGCTAGCAGGGTTGCCAAAATCTTGCCGACCGAGTTTGCTGGAATTGTGACAAATTTTTTTCTTAAATTCTGGCAATTTTGGCGTTTACATTAATTGTAGAGAGGTTTGCTATAATAGTTTCAGGGTTTTTATTGACATTAATTTACGATTTTAAATAGCGAGCAAGATACGCAAATTGTCTTCAGAAATGAAATAACGGTTTTACAAGTGAGTCTCATAAGCAAATAAAAAATAACTTATACCATGTCCATCACAAGATGAAAAATGTCCAGGTAAATATGCCATTATTTGTTCTCTGTCAAGCAAAAAAAATATTTTCTTAGGGATCTTCGCTCGTAAGATGACCTTGTATAGCTAAGAAAAATTCTGAAATTCAAACTTTTTGAAACAACTTGATCGATACGTACATTGTTGGTAACATGAACTTGGGGAGTCTGTCATCTTTGAAATAGATTCTATGATGTCAACGGACGCTCCACTTTTATTTCCTCCTGGGCAGGTAGGTTTATGGCCTCGTGAGACTTCTGGCTATGGCACTGTCCTTCTTCTCTTTAGTTCTAATTGCCCAATCTGTACTATTTAATTTCTCCTGTAAACCTTTGAAATATCGATATGTTTCATGTGGCAATTGTGAGCCATGTGACTGATGATCAAATAGTTATTAAACCACCCTGTGTTTCTCTCCATCTGTAGCTAGCTATGGCCGCATAACGAAGAGCAAATGAAGTGGACAAGAAAGTGGATCTCAAATGTTGTTGTCAAAAAACCATCGCTCGAGTTGTGTGTCATTCTGACCTCTAAGTATCTTGGCCGCTACAGTTTCTTCTTGGTAAAACTCAACTCTTTTTATTTCTTGTCCAACTGCATCTCACTATAGACACATACCTGACAACTAGATACATGTCCTTAAGGATCTCTTAGGTCATAAGGCTGCGAAGTCTTATATTGCCCTCTTTAGAATTTGTGCTTGTTGACGAATTGCCATGTTGAGCCCTAGTCAAGCTTTCGCATAGAGAAGTTCATTGTCTTGTTTTTTGTGTTCACTTGCTTTTTGCAATTGAACAGATATATATAAGGTATAATACATCGTCTAGCGACCAAACATTCCGTTTTAGAACTGGAAACTGCAATGAAAGCTATCTATAAGGCAGTGAGTGTAATGAAACTCAGAGGATATGAACGTTCAATTGACATATTTTGGTCCTCACTTTTTTAGACTGTATCCATTCTACTGTATTTATACTAATCACCAGCTTCTACATCAGTTTCAAATGCAGATGCAAGAAACGAGAAAGAAAAGAACAAATGCAGAAGAGGCCGTTACAAGAGGGGGCACCACCTATGGACCCCAACAACATGTAGGTCACTTTTACTTTTTCTTTGCTACATGAGACGACCCCTCTCAACTATTCAGCAATTTTGTGCATAGTAGTTGCACCTAGTTGTAATTTAATTGGTCCTCTAAACTCCATGTCAAGACTGGCCTGATGGCAAGCCACTGCAAGCTGCACCAGGAGGAACTGTATGGACTACTCGAGGACTTGCTAACCTCTAGTTTAGAAGCAAATTTGTTAACTTCTGAGAATATGCTCCTTATTCCATAAAGTTGTTATGATTTGACTTCTATTTCTGTACTCATTTTCAACATATAATATTATGATATATGTTATAATATTACTATATTCTTGCGGGATGAAACGATGCAAATCAATCAGTTGTGCAGTCCCCAGCGTCGCTTATGAGATAGTGGATGTTCATAAAAATAAATGACTGTTAGGAAGTTAATCAAGTGTTGTATTCGCGCAGGGACACGACTAATCACGGAGTGAAAAGAAGACATAGTGAACCGGAAGGTTGACATTGTAGTTCTCTTTATGTTTATATGGAACTAGGACCTTCAGGCAATCAGATCGAAGAGAATGTGAAGAGCAATATAAATCTGCCTGTCTATTATCCAAGATTATTCACGGTCATAATCATGGTTCCTAACACTTCAGTCTAGCAATTAGTCAACCTCATATCATACAGACGTATGTGGCAATCCTGAAGTCGCATTTTTTGTTTCTGCTCAGTAAGAATTAGACATCTCAATTCAGGAGAGGTACGTTTGATTTTTATTTAATGAGATAGATAAGAAAGATTGAATGCCCCTTCGAGCATTACATCAGTTGGATTCAGAAACTGTATGGTATCATACTTTGGGTTTCTTGTTGCAGAGCAAACCTTTGTTGGGAAATCTCGATGGGCTACAAGGGTCGCAAGCCTAGCAAGCCGAAGTCTCCCCCTACTCAATCTCCCGATTGTAACCCACCTGCAGCTAAATCTTCCCCTCCTACTGTTGTCGTGAAATCTCCCCCTCCCCCTTCCCCTTTCTACTCACCTCAGACGCCACCACCTCCGGCTAAATTGCCACCTCTTCCCGTGGTTGTGAAGTCCCCTCCTCCACCTGCGAAATCACCTGCTCCTCCCGTTGTGGCTAAATCACCACCACCTCCGGCAAAATCTCCTCCTCCTCCAGTGGTGGTCAATTCCCCTCCACCCCCCATGAAGTCTCCCACACCGCCATATACGTATTAGATCGGACTTGCTTTCGCGGGCTGTAAGCTGTTATCAAGACAACAGTTGTTGATGCTCCCAATGCCTCTTGAGGTTGCCAACATTAAGGAGAATATCATACCAGGACTTATTTTATCAGCATATATACGAGCTCTGCTGTGCGTTTGCAGAATGTAGGGAAGTATTAAATTCACTTTGCTTCGAGCGTGACTACGTTCCTGGCGAAGTCCAATTTTCGATGCTGTTATGCAAAATTGTTGAGCTCCTCACAGGATTGTAGAGGCGTTATCATAGGCAGATTCGTCGTTTAGTCTGCATATGATTCCGAAGAGTGAATGAGAACGTAAATTGTGCTCACGTTTTCATTATCTAACCAAGTTCTGTATACAAACTCTAATATGTTTTAATTTTCAAATATTCTTACCAGCTTCTTAAAACCGAAGTAAACGGCGTGCTTTTACACTAAATGTCATCTGATTCAGCAGATACGCACATTCGAGTCTGCAATTTTATGTTGTCTTTCATCATCGTGGAGAATCAGTCTATCCTAGCCCAATTTAAAATAACATAAAGTTCTCTCGTCAAGAGCAAGGAATCAATCTGCAGCCCATCATGTTACAGTATGTGTTTGTTTAGCAACATGTATTCCCAAGTTACAGTCAAATCTACCTACATGTTTTCTCTAATATCTGTTTTTTTCACTTTTTCCCTGCTTCTAAATGTATCTCCTAAAGCTTCATACTGCAAATCTTATTCCTACCTATTAGAACACACTTATAGATGAAAATATAAAAGACACGCTAGTGATATTGAGATAATGATAGACATTTTTTATTCAAGTATTAATACTTGAGTACAAGAAAATACTAAATATCAAGTTATTTAACTTCTAAATGGTGTTTTTATGTCAATGAGGAAATTTTTTAAATTTCTTTTCAGTTAATTATAATCCAATTGGAATTTAAACAATACGTTTTATCATTACAATGTTGATCAAAACGCATCAATAGACAAAATCATACATTTACAATACATTTTGAATATCACTTGAATTTTCAAACAAGTTGAGTAAAAAAATATTTGTCATGTACATATATGTAGTGATTAGTTAGTATTGGATTAGAGTTAACTCTAGTTAGTTAAGATAACCTTAGATTAGTGTTCAATTAGAGAGCATAGCCGTGTGATGACTTGAGTAACTTTCATTTCTTAGAGTTTAGACTTCAGTCGTTGGGAGTAAATCTGCTATTGTGTCCCCTTAAAATCTACTTGGATTTTACTAGAGTGTGCTCGGTTCGACTTTATGTAAGATTTGTGCTTTATGCTACTGAGGATTGCACAAAGCTTTCCATCCATTGTGATATATCCATGTATGTGTATACTTTTGTTCCATGTATATGTGTTACTGTGAGTAACGCATGTCAACAGTGTACATC